CGGCAGCAGCAGCAGCAGCAGCAGCAAGTTAGTGGCTTAAAATCTCCCAAGAGGAATGACAAGCAACCAGCTCTTCAGGTAACAATTCCCCCTTTAAAAAAAATTGATGTTATACTTTTTGGGATAACTGATAAGCAGTTCAGAAGCGGATGGTGTTGAGAATGGCAAGTCATGTAAGAAAGTCTTGGGGTAGTGCATGTTTAGTTTTTCAACAGAGAATGACGTTTGGGGAAAAATGTCTGTTTCAACCAAACTTTTGTTGTGGAAGTAGGGGAATCTACTAAGCAGTGTATATGATAGGAGAATAGGGAGTTGGAGGTATTGGCTGGTTTATCAGGCAGCGTAGGTTACCTATGAGAAAAACTTTTAGATACGTTGTTGTGTGCTGATGGGTGTAGAAATAGGATACACACACACGCACACACTCTCACCTTACTTTAGTGCAGTGGTTCTTAATGGGAAGAGGTTTTGTACACCCGAGGGAACCATGGGCAATGAATGTCTGGAGACATTTTTGGTTGGCACAACTAAGCTGGCAGTGAGTGCTGTTAACATCGGGGAGGCGCAGTCCAGGTATGCTGCCGCACACCTGCACAGGACAGCTCCCCACAGAGCAGTTATTCAGCGGCCCAGAGTGTTAGCAGTGTCAAGAACCATGATTAGGCCTGAAGAGGATGTGGCGCTTTTAATATGGGACCTATCATTAATATAATACACACCCTAAATCTTCATGGGTGTTTTCATAGTGTTTATGCACAATGAATTTTAAAAAAAAGTGGACTATTTTTCTGTAAAGATAACAAAAGAAAGATGGTCTAGCAACTTCTCATTTCAGGCATATTGAGGTCAAAAGGTTAACAGAGTAGGAGAAGCAATGAGTTTATAAAAATACCATTCAGATTTTTGACTTAGAGGAGAACATTGGAAGACACATTTTAAAGAAACCTGACTCAAGGGGTTGATGCTCACATCCAAGATAGGACCCTTGCACATGTGAGGTGGCTCAAACTATTTTCATGGCTGAGGGCTGGCAACTCCCAGATGATGGCTGACGATGGACTCCTTGCCCTGACAGTTTGGGAGCAGAGTATGTGAACTGATGGGTATAACTTGGTGCCCATTAATTTGAGCAAGAGGCCCACCTAAATGCTAGCTGGTGTTGACTTTTCACCGGTCAGGGTGAACCATCGTCAGTTCCCAAATTATTCTACAGTGATCCAGCTGACCTTGGGTGAAAAGTTCTAGTTCTTCTATGTCTCCTTGTGAAATGACCACTCTTCAGGGAGAGTTCAGCACTGGCGTGACACTTGATGGGCGGAGCAGAATGCTAATGTGCCTTGTTGACGAACACGCTTGGAAACAGTTATTTGGTAAACCGTCACCAGTCTGCGTGCCTTTTCAAGTGTGTGCATGCAGGGGACATTTTTAATGATGTGCGGTGCCATGGAGGGTCCGTGTCAGGTGCTATAAGAAGTGCTTTGTTGTGGAGATGTCTTAAGAACAGCTCTGGAGGATGAAATATGACTGTGTTGACCTTTCAGCTGTGAGCTTATTTGTCAGGATTCAAATAAGTTGAAAGGATCAAACTGAACAGTTTCCGTAGTCAGACTGGGAATTGTGTTGCAGAGGTCAGCAGTGAAGGCCACATTGTGGATTCTATAACATAGCCAATTGTTGGTACATATTAAAGTACTGGGGCATCTCCTGCAGATAGAGACACAATTAAAATTCTAATTTATTAATGTATACAGGGAGCTAGCCCAGCCTGTCACTCAGTGATTCAAATGACTGTCCATTCTTTTTGCCTCTCTCATGAAGCTCTCACAGCCTTAAAAATACGGTGAGGCCTCTTGAATTTATCAGCGCTCCAGTGCATTGGAAAAATGACAATATATTATTGGGGAGAAAGTCTTACATGTAGTAGTGCTTCGGTTAGAAATAATAAAAAAAAATACACACATACACAATCAGTCTGATCGCAGTACTCGTCAGTATTGAATATCATTTGTCATTTTTTCATACCAGATTGATTTCCCTCATATTTTCCTTTTTTTTTTTTTTTCTTCAAACATATGGCATTCTTAGGTAACTTCTTTCCAATTTGTACGAAGTTCCTTTAGGGCTAAATATATGAATAGAAGTCAAGTTTCAGGGGATTTCCTTCTGAGGGCTCTTTTTCTTCTTGCCTCCTGTAAGGTTTCTCTCCACCATGCTGAAGAGTATGATAGAGAGGGCTTCGTTTTTCTTGGCAAGGACAGTGTCAAAAGCAGCCTCTAACACATTCTGCTGAGCACTGCAGTCTGTATAAAAAGTGGGGGGGAGAAGGGGCAATCTCGGATGCTGGTTTTGCTAAAGATGTCTTGAGTCCCTTCCTACCCTCTAAGTGGGAGAGTTGACAAGCAGAGAATTTCGACCAGCTTTAGGAGTTGGCTGGGAAAATAAAAAGAGTTGGTTGATGGGGGTTGTGCAGCCATGTGTGTGTGCGCACGTGCGTGTGTGTGTGTGTGTGTGTGTGTGTGTGTATGCCCATCACACACGACTGCTGAGTGCCTCCTCAGCTGTCTGGTAGGGTCATGCAAATTCTGCAAGTTTTATTAGGTTGGCTGGCCTTCCCCAAACAGAAAGGATAAATTACTAACCTAAGCCACATGCTATATTACCTCGTTATAAAAATACGTCTATAGACTTGGCACTTCACAGAAGGAATAACCTTCGCAATTCGATGTCTCTTGCTGTGCCACGTCCTCGCCGGGGCATCTCAGTCGGCGTTGCTCTGAATGAAAGGGAAATCCTACAGCCAACCTGAACAGGGCTCACCTCTGATCTTCTTACCCTTCATAACTACGTGGAGAGACCTCGTTTAGCAAATTTCAGATCTTCTGCGTAGAGAAAGGCTTGACAGGGAAGAAGGATTTGATCCACTGATAGCTTGAGGGAAAAAAAAAAAAAAACCAGAAACTCAAATCCCCAAATATACTGCGACTCACATTTTAAGCATATCTCACACTTCTCTGCTTTATGTTTGGCAGCGGGCTCTAGTTTCACAGGCTGATGATACAAACAAAAGAAAATGGAAAGTTAGAGGAGGCTATAAGCGGTTACTCGATCGAGATCATACCGTGTAGTCCAACATCACCATTTGGACTAATTTCAGGGAGACAAGAGTAAATAAGAGTCGTGGCGCTCTGTGCTGCTCCACATGTGGAACCCTGTCTGGGCCGGCCGCGTTCTTGGGTGATGTTGTCATTTATTGATGAAGGCATTCATTGGGGAGAGATCGCGCTTCTAAAGTTCCTGAGAAATATTCTTAGGAACCTAAATTGCCTTTTTACTTAGTCTATTAATTTGCTTTGCAAATTTTTTTATGAATGATATGAGTGAAAATGGAAAATTGGCCCCATCGTAAATTCAGACTCAGAATGATCTGAATTAATTACATGCAACTTGGTGAACGTCTCCAGAACAGCCACAGCGTGTGCTGGGACCCACAGGACACACAATTGCCGAGGATCCAGACCTTGCCTTCAGGATGCTTATGAGTTACAGGAGAATTAACAAGGTTTTGGTGCAAAAAGAAAATTATAGGGGAATAAAAATAGTAGGCTTTCTTTTATAAATATTTATATACTTCTGAAGATTGCTTAAACAAGTGAAATAAATGCTTAACGGTGCAGGTGTGCTCATAACCTCGAAAATGTGTAACTTTACTGGCTGAAGATTAATTTGTGAGTAGATGAGCAATTTTATTGATCAAATTTTGGAACTTTGACCACCGTTTCTGGGTAGTAATTCATTGCAGTTCTTTAAGCATTTTAGTTGTTGGCACGAGTACATAAACTGGAAGGAAATCAAATGACACATTTTCTCCTAAGAAAGTAAAAGTACATGTGTATTCTGGCAGCGTTCATGTTAGGAAAGAAAGTAACCCTTGTGTGTTTCCTACAGTGGAAAGCTGACCACATTTTCAGGCCATCTATAAAGAATTTGAACTTGAAGCCAGTCATCCGATATCTTTCCCTTTTGCCCAGCCCCTGCCTTCCAAGGTTATGTCATGTGCAAGCCCCTCGCTCCAGAGGCCATGGCACCGCAAGGGAGAATAGTGAAAGCACTGGGAGGCAGCCTTTTAGTCCATTGGAAGCTCGGGACCAAGGTGAGGATTCCTGCTCTAAGAGGAGGCGCTTAAAATACGAGATTCAGCAGGTGTTTTAAACATTTTTATTTGCAGTTATAGAAAACGTGCTTTTGACAGCATTTTTGCTTTGCATTAATGCCATATAGAGTCTTAGTACCTTTTATCATGTCCATGTTAAGCACTAAGGAATAGAGTGGTAAGAAGAAACCTTTAAAGGAAACTACAATGTTATTGTCATCAAGAGTGACATGGAGTAGTTTTAAAGACTGGCCCTTGAAAAATATCCCTATGCACTGAATAAGTAAGGTGAATAATTCAGGAAGGGGGGAGAAATTATCATTATTTTTGAATGTTCCCTGGCATTATAAATTGGTAGGAAGTGTTGAAATTTGGGGGCCTTTTAAGATATTATTGTTATCACATGACTAGTCAATCCCAAAAACCTAAAAGTAAGGCCTAAAAATTAAAATTGAGACATTGTTACCCTCACACAAAATGATGGTTAAAAAATATTTAAGCTTGGGGCCAACAGGTGATGTAGTGGTTAAGGCTACTACACGGTTGACCATGGTTCGAATCTCAGACACGGCAGCTTGAGACTCACGTTGGGTGTGTGTATGTGTATGCCAAAAGTTCGTAGAGGAGTATGGAGGAGAAGGGATTGCAGCATGGCCATCCCCCCTGGGGGGTGATTTCTCGCTTTCTGTCTCCCTAACTCTGTCTCGTTGGCCAGCACTTGTGCCCTGTAACAAAAATCTCCTCTCACCAGAAGTATTTAAGGCTTTCAGATTACACACACTATTAAAAATAAACATGATAGGGGCCAGCAGGTGGCGCGATGGTTAAGGTGCTGGATTCCCAAATGGTCAACCATGCTTCAGATCCTGAACCCAGCAGTTTGAAAATCACACCAAGCATATGTGCATGTGTGTCCAAAATCCCAAGA